GTGTGTGTGTGTGTGTGTGTGTGTGTGTGTGTGTGTGTGTGTGTGTGTGTGTAGAGGGTGCGGTGGAGGACAGTGCTCTGGGTGACTCCTTTTACCATCACATGTTACCCGTTCTGCATCCCAGGCCTGCTGGGGGACAGTTGGATTTCATCGTGGAAGCTCATTAAACTCAGCTATTAATGGATGATCTTGGCTTAATGTGTTCCCACACTTGAGTAATATTTTATTCAGAGAGAGGCCTTTGTTCCCTTCATCCAAAGTTGCTCATTGCATTGGAAGATATGGCAAGACCCAAGGACATACTGACCTTTTAGTTTCTACCTTTTGCTTGAATCCCTCAAGCAAAAAATAAATCCCCTGAGAGACTACTATGTACCATTCAGCCACAGTGATAAGGCAGCTGTATTTGAAAATATATTGATGTGATCTGCATATTTCCCATGCAGAGTTACCATGATGTGATCTGCATATTTACCATGTATTCATCATTTCACTCTTTGCACAACCCTGGGGGAAAGTACTGTTACCAGCCCAATAGACAGATCAGGAAACTGAGGCCCAGGGAGGTTAAGAGGCTTATCCATATTCCCTCAGCTGGTTTAGTGCTGATATTGGCCCCTCACGTGCCCCTTCTCTACCATTCCACATACTGAATTGTGTGTGCTCAGCACCCAGCAAGGGGTGAGGACACTTGCCCACCATAAGATGTGGGCACGGGTTGGTACAGGCAGGGGAGGCTGCTGAGGTTCAGAGGGACATCAGGAGTCCTGGGTCTTCATCTCAGCTCTGCCACTGATCAGCTGTGTGACCTTAGGAGGACATGTTCCCCCCGGGGCTTCAAGTTTCTCCTCCTGGAGGATTTGAACCAGGTCACCCAAGATGGCTTCCAAGCCTGGTTCTCTGTCCAGACCATTTTTGACCTTCAGCTATCTGACAAGCTGGCTCTATAAGACAAACTTTCCCTGCTCCAGAACCCTGCCTGTGGAGGTTCCATATTCTTCCCCTTCCTTCCAAATTTGCTCCTGCAGATGGGTCTCTTCCCACATGCTTCAGGCATCCCATTCTTACTGTTGGGTCTTTTCCTATGCTGTTATCATCTGGAACATTCTCCTGTCCCCTCCCTTCTGTCTCATTCCACCCAAAGACTGAGAGCATCCCCAGATGAAGAATCAGGTCCCTGACAGGAAGAAGGGCAGAGCCTATGACCCAAGCCTGGAGAAGCCTGGCCTCGCTGGCCTTGCGTGAGCCCAGTGTCCTGCAGGAAGCAATGGCTACAGGAGGACTCACCTTCCCAGGGGCGTTCCGTGGGGTAAGCCCCCACAAGTCAGGGCTTCAGTACAGGTTCGTGGGAGACTGGGGGTGCATGCCAGGCCCTCGGCCCTCAGAGGCATCCTTCTGAGCAAGGTGCACAGTGTGTCAATGAAATCCCTGTCAATGAAATCAGGGGATCAAGGGGCCATTTACATTTCCAACTTTTGTGCCCCTGAGCTGGAAGCCTCTGAAAAAGGAAAAATCAGACTAATTTGCACTTCCCAGGAGACCAATTATGGAAACACCTACAATTTAGGAAGGGAAAAATATCAAAGATTCCAAATCAGGAATGCCCTTCATCATACTGCGCAGAACATGCTGGAACAGCAGCTGAAATTAGTCTCCCTGCCACACAACGTGCCTTGTTCTGGTACACATGTCAGTAACAGATGTCACACCAGCCACCAGAAAGATGCTCCCTTTAAAGAGACAGAAGAGCCACCGAATCCTGCTCTAGGGCCAGAGTAGTCCAACCCTAGCCTGGGACTCGGGCCACCCGCCACCTGCTAAGGGCAACAACACCACCGGCAGCCCCACAGCCCTAACAGACACTCGGTGGTTCCCTATATCTTACCACCCCCACCAAAGGGGACTTCAGGTCTCCCATTCCCTCATACGAATATGATCCATCCTGGACTCTTGGCTTGTGCACAATGTAAATGCTATAATACAACAGTGTGACTTGGGGGCCCTGCCCACCCCTCCTTAGGACCAGCTGATTCCTTCAAAGGCAAGGGCTTGAGCCCCGTGAGTGTCGTGGAGATGTCAAATGATGGTTTCTGTAGAACGTCGGAGCTCATTTTGTACATGACAAGACTGATTAATAGAAGCTAAAGCCCCCTGGAAACCAGGACTCCGAGGCCTATGCTCCTTCCACTGCCCCACGTTGGTTCACAGCCCCCTGCCATAAGTCACAGGCCATCGCCCAAGTTGTTTCTTCTAGAAGTTTTTTTCCCAACAGAATGCACTCCACCCTTTTTGGCATCCAGTCTGCTTTCTATCCTACTTGGCATCTCTACAGAGAAATCCCTAGAGTTTTTCTCTACGACAACTTTCAGGCCCTCCCCCTCCCAAATCCCCCCTACTCTAAATGATATCTTGAGCCTGTCTTGTCCAGAAGGGTGAACATCACCCTTCCTGGAGTCCAACAGCCCAGCTGTATCCCACACCATCCCCTAACAAGAAACGACACAATTCTCAGGACGGGGACCCCTGACGTCCAGCTGTCATTCAGGAACCAGTTAGGTTGCAAGTTGGAGGTCACTGCCATGTGTTTGTTGAATGCTACAGCTGAACTTCAAGATTATGAACATCTGACCTGTCCCTCTACACCATCCATCACCCCTCATTTGCAGGTGAGGAGTGAAGACACCCCAAAATGACGTAATATCATCAAGATCGCATAGCTGGTCAGACGCAGAACTGAGACTGGGACATAGCATGGGTTGCCCAGCTCCTGAAATGTTAGAACTGTCTGTGGTCTTAGAAACCAGTTTATTCCAGGCTCTCTGGTCCCACGTCATTGTGTTGCCCGCTCTGTTGGATTTGGACTCCTTGTGTCTCCTGCCACCGCCCCCAGGCTCTCCCCGTGGGCTTCTCAGTTTCCTGGGCCTCTCTGTCTGAGGTTTGCAGAGACGAGTACATCATGTACCCAGCTGAGATTCTCAGCAAGCTCACCACGGCACAGAACCCATTTTGCCAGTACTCTTGCCCCCTGCAAGACAAGCTCCCTGTCCTCCAGCAAGTACTTAGCCAATGAGAGCAGGACCATGACCGTAGCCAAGACCCAGCCGCCCCAAGCAGCACCACCTGCCCCTCCGTCTGCTTGCCTTTCCACTCAGGAGAGGGCTCTGTCCTCAAGGGCTTTGGACCCTCAGGCTGCTTTCAGATCAGGCCCTGAAGGGGGGGGTTGACCGTGGTCGGCTTTCTCCTGAGTTATTATCACAAAGCAGGCAGCTCCTTCAGTCCTCCAGAGCAGAGACTGGGGAAGCCCTTCCACTTTTCGCTAAGAGGAAAACTCACTCCCAGATTCAGCCCAGCCAGTCATAATCCGTTTTGTTGGGAGCACTGAGCCCTGGGCTTCCTAGGCAAAATGAGGCTGCCAGGCGTCCCTGTGTACAGGGCACTGCTGCGGAAAGAATGAGCCTCAGAGCTGGGCTTGTAACTCACTATAGCTGCTGCCCAGCATGGGCAAGGCAGCCCGTCACTGGGCGTGCGTGTGCACACGTGCATGTGTGTGCGTGTGTGTGCATCACTGGGCATGCGTGCGCGTGCGTGTGCGCATATGTGTATGGATGTGTGTGCACATGTGTGCCCGTGCAGGTGTGCAGATAACAATCCTCACGTGGATGTCACAGGAGCGCTGTGAGCGTGGAGAGATGGCACAGGAAACCTAGAAATATCAAGCATTCTACCAATTGGACAAATTGCTCTTTTGCTCTTCCAGATGCAGCAACGCACTCCCCTCTCTGGCCTCACCTGTGAAGCAGAGGGCTTCTAGAGCCCCTGCTGGTCTGACATTCTAGGAGTGGAGGACTCTCCCGCCTTCCTGCCACTTCTGGGCCCCTAGTGCACTAGGGTCTTGCCTGTAGACCGTGGCTGGGATGACCTTTCCGATTTGCTGCCTCTCTGTCATCTCTTTTGTCTCTCTCTGGCCAAGCTTCTGTTGCTGTCCCTTACTGAGCCTTCCATGGCAGTCACATAGGATGTCCCAGCTCCTTCGCCCTGGGCCTTTTTGAAGGTGGCAGGGGATGCCCTCTAGTTCCCAGATGAGATACCATGAGGAGGAAAGACTTTTTGAAAAGTGTTAAACATTTGTGAACATTCTTACACGATGTAGGAAAGAGGAATATGTTCTCAGAGAAACGGCACTGAGGTCCTTTTCTCCGAGGGCCACTGTGGGGTACAGTTCTTGTCCCTCTGGACCAAGACTCGGGGTAGGGCCAAGGCCGCAGAGAGATGATTTTGACTGGCCCAGGGGCTAGGATTAGGAGCTGTAAGCCCATCTCAAGGGTGAATGCTGCTTTTGACTCCCTCCCTTACCCCTTCTCTTCTCTTCTGACCCTCCCTCTACCCGCCACCCCTCCCCCACTTCTCCACATCCTTTGCATTGGCAGATGGAAGTCTGAAAGTATGATCCATCCCCCGCCGCCCCCCAGGGATATTTGAATTTTGTTAGGGGAACTTTGAAAAGGATTTTAGGCAGTAGGGGGAGAAAGAAATAGGAGGACTGTCTCCTCCTCCATTTTTGCAATGAGGGAGTAAATTGGTGAAAAATAACAATTATCGTTGCCTTGATATATCACTTCTACATATGTGATCTCATTTGAACCTTATTATAGAATCCCTAAAGAGGCTGTGGATTACATTACAGCGAGGAACCTTCAGAGAGGTTAAGTGATTTGATCCACAGCCCACAGCGGCCAAGTGGCAGAGACAGGACCAGAACTCAGGCTCCCTGGAGCTTGGGGGGAACCTGCACAGGGTGGCTTGTTGCCCCTGGCCTCACGTGCTTCCGGACATGTTGGGGGTCGTTTTCTGATCCAGAAGTGATAGGCTCATTCCACCTTGCAGGCATCGACTATCGGGTGAAGATGGTGCGAGTGGACGACTCGTCCGTGGCGCTGCAGCTGTGGGACACGGCGGGTCAGGAGAGGTGAGGAGCGCCCCTGGCCAAACCCTGCCTCCTCCACCGGCCGCCGAGAGGGCTGCAGGTGCGGGCTGCGGGGGAAGCCGTGCAGCCCCTGACGTGTGGCCCTCGGTGGCAGGTACCGCTGTATCACCCAGCAGTTCTTCAGGAAGGCCGATGGTGTCATTGTCATGTACGATGTCACCGCCAGACAGTCGTTCCTGTCGGTCCGGCAGTGGCTGAGCAGCGTGGAGGTGAGCTGGTGACCTTCCTAGGAGCGCTGACGCTGACTCCTGCCTCCCCCTGTCCCTGCCCGTCTCCTGCCCGTCTCCTGCCCGGTCCTCTGCTCTTCCAAAACCTGATTCAGAGCCCGCCTTCTCCGCGAACACCCCGGTTCAGGCGTCCATACGGCCATTCACCCAAGCCCAGCTCTCAGTACTGGGGGTGAATTAGACTGACACAGTCCCTGCCCTCACGAAGGTGGGGGCTTGAAAAACAGATCCCGCCCATAACTGTCATTACGATCGCCGTAAGTGCCTCGAGTGAATGGGCTGGGATTGGGGGAGGGCTCAGAATGGAGAGAAACCGGTGTTTAAACTGAGTCCCACCCATGCTCTTCTCCTTTTTGCCCCTCTGTGTTGTTCTGGCTCCCATGGGCCCAGCTATGCCCAGCCCAGGAGTGGCTCCACACAGTGTCTTGGGGCCTCTGTCACAACCCTTCCCAAGAGGGGAGGTTGATCTAGAATGTGAGCACCCCTGGCTCACCGCACAGTCACCCTGGGCAGGGCCCACAGGCAGCAGACCTCTTCTTTGAATTCTGGATTGGCCACAAGACTCGACTGTCTTGATTTATACTTGCAATAAGTTGCTGTGTAAGTGCTTTGTACTTTCTGACCATCTGCATGTTCTTCCTCTGCCACTCAGATGCAGCCTTCTCAAGGCCAAGGTCGGGGTGCACAAGGCACGTATTTATTTGACAGATCCTCAGTGGAGTCTTTTAACAAAACCGTCAGCTAGGATGCCCCACCTCCTTCCACCTGCAGGATCCATGTGTTGTTCATGTATTTGTCTAAAGCCCTGCCAGGCACTGTTCTAGGCTCCGGAAATTATAGCAGCAGATAAAGAGACAAGGTTCCTGTCCTTGTGGGGTTTACTTTCAACCTGCTGCTCAAGCCCCTAAGACCTGACATAGCCCTTACCTCCTTACCACACTGTACCACTGCTGTGAAGGACACAGTTGCCAACCCAGCTCCCTGCCTCTGGGTCTCTTGAGAACTGACACTGTGTAACAGGCTCTTGGCACGGGCCCCACGGAACTAGTGCTCGACAGATGTGGGACGAGTGAATGCATACCGCTATCGTTGGGCGGGCAGAATCCTGGAGTTCTTCATTTCTTCATCCTGTTGGCCCTAAGACCTGTGATTCCTCCCACCAAAATCTGTTTCTCTTAGAGTTTAGATTGGCTGGGCCACTCCTCTCTCTGCTGTGAATCCACATCCCTCTCATTTCCAGGAAAAAAGAAGGAACAAGAGTGGAAACCAGATTCAGGGATTCTCTGAAATTTGCTCCATACAAATTATTTCTCGAAATGATCGTGCTTGAGAAATTTACAGTAGAGAAAATGTTAAGTTTTGACATGTAGTGAATGGCTCTACGCCGAGCTAATAATGGAGGCAAATGGGATGGGTAATGTGGAAGCAATTCCTGTTTAAACTTCGGAATTTATGACGTGATTCTTTTTTTCTTTTTTTTTTTTTTTGATAGTGCGGCAGATTTGTCTTCCTCACAGAAATTAGGCACCAGGAGAGACGTGAGGGATTGTCTAATCTGGTGGTTCTCAAACTTTCTTCCTGGGAACCCTGGGAACATGAGGGCTTCCCCCAGGCACTGGGGAGGGCTCATCCCCCAGATCATTCAGCGCCACCTCTGCTGCATTCAGTTTTCTCTATTGGAAGTCCAGGCACAGTTTTGTTAGACGAGAGAGCTTCCCTGTGAAAAGTCACTGATCTAAAACAGCCATCTCATCCTCAAAGGAAGAACTGGAGGCCATGACATCTGTACCACCCAGTCTCTTCCCAGCTATGCCTGTGTCCTTGCCCACTGATATTGACATCTTGAGACAGACGGGAGCAGGCAGAGGCAGCTCGAGTAGTCTGGGATGAGTAGGGATGGGTGGAGGAAGCAAACTTGTGGAACTGTGCTCTCTGCCCTCAGTAGGGGCTGTCGCTTCTGGGGCCCCGGTTTTGCACCCAGAGCCCGGGATCTGGCCGGACAGGCGGAATATCAGGTTGAATTTGGCAGCAGCGGCGGTGAGGCAAAGACATAGCAGAGGGCCACCGTTGCAGCTAGAAACACGAGTTCGGTCATTCTCTGGAAAACCGGGCCAAGCCCCGGATGTCTGGCATGTTCCCAAATGGGCTGAAAAGCATTGTCAGCACGTACCTAGCAAGAGTTCCCAGGGAAACCCTAGTGCATCGATGGCCCAGGGAAGCCACATGGAAATGCACTTAACTCAGGATTCTCCAGGTGAGGGTGGGGCTTTCCTCTATAATTTGGAGTTTGAATGTTTCCGTCTTGAGAGTAGCAGCAGAAGGTACAGGTAAACTCTAAATGGGGCTGCCAAACCTGGATAATCAGGATTCACCTGTGGTGCTTTCAAACAAAACAGACGCCAGGCCTTCTCTCCCAGATAGAATGATTCAGAGCCTGGAAATACAACTAAGAAAAAGAAAAAAGCAACAGTTCCCCAAGTGATTTTGATTCTCAGCTGCCATGATTCCAAGCCTGAAAAGTTCTTCTCAAAGTTCAATATGCATAGGAATCTCCTGGGGAACCTTGCTAAAATACGGAATTTGACTCAGCAGGTTCAGAATCTTGGGTAGGCCCCGCGGTTCTGCATTTTCTAACAAGTTCTCCAGCCAGGCCAATATGGCCAGGCTGGGGACCACACTTTGAGAAGCAAGGCCCTGAATCACTTTCAGAGATGTCTGTGTTCCTTCCACAAGAATCCGCAGAGCATCACCCACCTGTCTGGTGCGGGCGAGGCGCTCTGGGGGACTCGGTGTGGGGACCCAGTCCAGTGGCCCCAGGGGATTGCAGACAAGCGCGGGGGTGGGAGCAGCGGTTGTGTGAACCTGTGAACAAGTGTCAGATGGCGGAGTGTGTCGAAGGTGTGGAACAGTGAGTTCGTGAATTCAGTTATTCTCAAGATTCTTGAAAAGCTAAAGTCATTCTGCCTTGGCAACCAGCAATCAGAGGTGTCAGGTGACAGATTAAAACCTGACACCTAATTTGATCAGAGGGAACTGAAAATAATAAGTACTTTGTATTTGTGGAGCACCTTATTTTTCCATGGAGCTCCAAGCACTTTGCCAACTGCCTCACTCGGAGAAGGGAGGGTGGAGGGGAGCTTTAATAACAGGCTTCACGTTCTGAAGCCTTATTATTAAGTGAATGCTGGCCAGCTGTTGGCATCACCCCTTCCTCCTGCAACCTGAAAAGCAGTGCAAGAAGAAAGGGCTTAAATTGCCCCAGATTATATGTGGCAAACACTCACTCTTGGAAGAGGTTGTGTGTTGCGGGGAGCAGATGCTTGGCGGGGGGGGGGGGGGTGCCTATGGAGTCCCGTGAAAAGGAAGTTCTTACCATCCTAGCTCAGCACTTCCTGGCCGCGGAACTGGCCAGTCACCCGATGACAGAGTGGACCAGAAACTCTGACGGGTTCCTCCTGGGCCCCACATTCTTACAGCATATGGCATTTCATCCTCCGGGGAGGGGAGGGGTCCAGGGTGGAGCAGGAGTGTGCGCAGATGAGAGGACCCTAGAGGATCCTTCCAGTCCCGACAGAACCAAATCCTCCGGTGCAAGAGACCTAACACACACCTGCGCAGCTTTATGAGGTGGGAGAGCCCGGCCCCCATGGCTGGCCCCCTGCCCCACCCTCCCTCATTGCCCCCACCCCTAGGCAGCTCTACCTTGCGCACAGGCCTTCTGCAGGAGAGGCCCAGGCACACTCTGTGCTGATTCTCCTGTCATTTTACATTCCCTGTGTACCTTATAGCACATCAAAGCAGGTAGCCCTTCCTGCCACCTCAGTTTCCCCAGCCCTCCCCTACCTCCTTCTCATCTCTGCTAGGTAGAACTGGTTTAACCAGTCTAATCTAGAGAAGAAACTGGCTGGGCTCTCAGGGTCCCGTGTTTAGACCGTGGGACGAACTGGACATCTGGAGACTTTGGGGCCTGTATCAGTTAGGGAAAATCGGCTTTGGTACAGGTCTGAACGGGCTGGTATTTTCCCCGAATCCAGTTTGTGGGTCCCCAGTGTCTGCAGTCTTGGCATGTTGAACTTCCTGTTTCAATCTTTTGTCACTCTGAGGGCCCTGTATTGTTAGGCCTGTAAGTCAAGGAAGTGGAAAATGACGAGGTCATGAAGCCAACAGGAGCAGTGACCCGAACTGGGAAAAAACTTGGAGATTAATTTAATGCAGCCTCTTATTTTATAGATGAAAAGTCCTGCGATCCAGAGAGAGGAAGTGACTTGTCCAAAAGTCCCCACAGCTTGCCAGATGCCCAGCCAGAACTAGAGTCTAGTTCTAGCCACTGTGTTATGCTGCATTATGCATTATGTGACAAGAAGATCACATGGTCCATGGGTGAAATCTGCTTCTGAAGAATAGGTGTTCATTTCTTTTTCAGTCCTTCCCATTTCTGCCTCAAAGCAGAACACTTCATTAGCTCAAAGGGGCCAGGCCCACTTTCCTCTCCCTTTGTGGACCACTAGCTAATTCTTATTCTGTGATCTTTGTCATTGGAGGCAATGCACAGCGCAGAGCAAAAAATAGCAGTTTGATTTTTTCCCCCATGTTCCAAGTTGAGCTTGAAGTGCTGGCAATTTAAAATGAACTACACAAATAAATCTTGTTTTGACTCATAGTCCAGGGGGTGGATAAATATGGAAACCCCCAAGATATAATTTTGCAGTCATTTTTTTCGTAGCATAACTACATGCTTTAATGTGCTGAGAAATTTTTTGTTCTGGCTCCAGAGAAATAGCAGCACTATCCTGGCTAAGTGCTTTTTCTTGCCTCCCAGCAAATGGATATTAACACACACACACACACACACACACACACACACACACATACACACACACAAACTACAGCCAACCAAACCCAACAGCTGCACGTTCTGAGCTGAATGCCAGTCCTCTGCTCCAAGTTGACAGCTCATGTTATTTAAAGTCAGAGGTGGGTAATCTTTTGAATTTCAACACGTCTGTCTTCCAACAAGCTCAAGTTCAAAGAAAGGCAACTAAAATGGTTGGAGGTATGGAAAGGCTTCTGGGCCGGGTGTCAGCGGATAGGAACCAGCTGCGTAGGTCCATCCCATAGCTCATAGAATAGAGTCTGTGAAAAGGAGTGGGTCCCACAAACAGAGAGGTCATGTGCTCGGCTAAACAGCTTCGATTCCTTCCTCTGACCTGCCATGCCTACAGAGTTCTACCAGCATCTATAGAAATGTCACCAGAGGTGGGGGTGGACCTTAGACTTGTTCGCCAAAGGAGGTGCACTTTAGACTTTTAAAAGGAAGCGTTGCTTCATCTGGTGGGTCATGATGAGCCTCTTTGTGCCAAGCAGTATATAGGCTGAACAACTATCTGGGTACCTGAAAGGTGTAAGGTTTGGGCAGAGAGCTGAAGACTTGAGGTTAAATTCAGAGAGGGCCATGAGACAACTACCCCAAACCCAATTCTCCCCATGGCCCTGTGTCAGAGCCTGGTGTTGGGCCAGGGTGCTGATGACTGACTCCCATGATGGATGGCACACTCTCTGGCCTTGTGTGTGTGCTCACTTATTTTTGCCATATTTTTGGAGATGCGTCTAATTCTGTATCAGTGGCGGGCCAGGGCCCATAAAGGGAAAGGGAGTTGTCCACAGTATTTGCATGAGAGGAACAATGCAAAGAACAGAAGCCACAGCTCGGGGGGTGGGGGGGGGAGCATGGGGGGCTTTTTTCTGTTCCTTCTAAGATGTTTTATTTTTATATCCAGGAATTGCTTTAAAAAAAGAAGACTGCCCCCCCTCCTTCCCTCAGAAGAGCAGCCCTGCTGTTTGTGGTGCGCAGGGCTCAGATGCTGGGCTTGTGACTCTTCCCTATCTGATCCTATTTGGTCATTCGGTATCCACCATCCCTTTTGCAGGCGAGGAGACTGAAGCCATCACCCATTCCAACATACCTGAATCCGGGTTCAAATTTTGCCTGGGGATTTCAAGTCTGATGCTCATATTGTCAGAGTTTCCATGTCAAGAAATCCCACAAGCCTTAGTCATCCCTCACACATAAATCTACAAATATCTTTCATGTGCTCGACACAGCAAGCCTTTTGGCCCATTTCCCTGCTTCCTCCTTTTTTCCTTTTCTGTGAAAAAGTCTTCGCACAAGTTTCTGTGGCACAACACAGTCAGAAAATGGGGCTATTCCCATTACCCAGCACTCTGGTAAGAGGAAGCCACAGCATGGTCTCTCTATACCATAAGTGGTTTCTCATTTGCAAATACTTGGAATAGGGTGCGATCCACTTAGCACCTCAACTACAGTGCACATAATTTGATCTACTTTTGGTGGCTCAGAGGACACATTCCAAATTATGGAGTGCTTTTGAGCCATCATTACCAACATGAATTACCATCTGACCCTGGATAAATGGAAATACCACTTTGAGAGAGTTCTAGTTAATAAGACACTAAATAGCAGAGAGTTCACTGGAAATCAGAATTTAGAGAAAAATGTTGGAGAACTGTGGACCCATATACTAAAGGGTCCTCATAACTCGGTGACTTTGTTATTGAATGTTCTTTTGAATTCTCTGAGCCTTAATGTTCTCATCGAGTAAATGAGAATTTTTTTCACTACGGAACTGCAATAAAAATGAATGTGTAGATTAAGGAGCCATGGAGGCTTAATCTCAAAAACAATTGCATTCAAACTGAAAACATGTGAACCCATTGGAAGGACTTGGGACATGTATTTGAAGTGGTTAGATCCAGTGGCTAAACTCTTGGCAAAACTGTAAGCCATTGTTGGCTTCTGTCATCCCCCAACCCTGTCTATTTAGTAAAACATTTTAGCTACAATGAATAACTGTTGGTTACCAAATTATTATTAAAAGCCCCTAATTAAATATCTCACTAAGTAAAAATAACAACCTGCTTACATGTGAATATTATCATATTTACTCACTAATAGCTGCGCACCGTGGGCCCTTTGTTTGGACTTGGGGGTTGGGCCCCTGGCTCATATGCCACAGTCAGCGGGGGAGTAAAGAGAGTTGACCCCATGAATATGCCTGTTACTTGTGGCCAGAAAGTGGAGCTTCTGTGGCCACCGAGCTCTTCCCCACGCAGGCCTCAGTGCACCTGATGACAGGGATCTGTACGGCCCCGCGTGGTGACCTCCAATTCCATATACAACAATCACAGATGGCGCTGGGGACCCAAAACCATGAATCAGAATTGGACCCAACCCTCAGGGAGCTTATGTGCCCCATGTGAGGCCCCTGAAGATGCCACTTCTAATCAAAGCAGCCCCTAGAACTGCTCTGAACCTCACTGCATTAATTCCTTTGCTTCATTCTGGTTCATTTAGACTAAGTCTGGTCACTTAGGAGTGCTTTCAGGGACACTGTCAGCCGTGGAAAAGGACACATAGTTCACTGGCGTCTACTGTCCCCTCATCCTGTTACCCACAGCACACCTGGGGGAGCCTGCATGTCCCATCCAGCAGGAATGAGTGGGGAAGGAGGGAGGGGTCACTGCACAGCCGAATCTGGGAGGCACCCGGAGGCAGGCCTGAGGCACCTTGCAGAAGCCTTGTAAACTGAGGCTCTTGGAGAAGGTGACGCTCCCTCTCAGCTTTTGGGATGACTATATTCTCGCCTGGCCTGTTGTGGCAGCAGGGGATTCGCAAGCCAGATTGTATCTTTCCCACCAGCATTTTAAGCCTGCCCTTCTGGGCTTTCCTTATGGATGCTTCTCTCAGTTGGGGGATTATCTGTTCTGCAGGAAGCTGTGGGAGACTACATCCCTGTTCTTCTGCTGGGCAATAAAATTGACAACGAGAAAGAGCGGGAAGTTCCGCGAGGCCTCGGAGAGCAGCTTGCCAAGGTAAAGAGGAAACGTTTCCGTCTCTCTGGACAGGGTGGGACCCTGAAGGCAGTCAGGCCTGTGCCCAAGAGCCTTGGTGGGAGCTTTCTCTGGAAACCCCCTGGGAAGGAAGCAAGTGGGCAAGGTGGGTGTCCTGGCATCATGGGAATGGCCCAACTCCTGCACACGTGAAACTTTCTATAGAAAGCCACACATCACAAGATAGACTTGGCTGGGGATGACCAGAGTATGGGGAGTTTTCCCAAATTCTCTTCGTTGGGGCTCAGAATGATAAGTTCTTAGATAGTAAGAGGTTACTTATTTAAATCCCCTATCTGATACTCGAATTTCTTCTTCTGTGTTTCCACTTGATCACCTCCAGGGATGAAACACTCACTGTCTGTAAGGCAGCTTAGCTTGTTCTTCTTTGAACAGCTCTGTTAGAGAACTTATCCCTTCTATCAAGATTGAGCCCCAGGCTGTGAACTTGAGATAAACTCAGGGCATGCACTCAAAAACTTAGCTTTTAAAATAAGCATCAGCCCTCTCGCCCAAGCTGGGGACCTAAGAGGCTTGATGGAAATGAGAAAGCAAACAGTGCTCTCTCCTCAGCTGTTTCTCCTGCCTCCGAGTGGTTTTCAGGGAACTGTATTTCTGGGAAGATGGAGGTGCTTTCCAGCCCCAGGATTCCATACTTTTTAGTGTGCTTGCTCCAAACAGGGACTCATGGCCCCCAAGGCTGGGCAAATGGGCACAGATGGTCAGGGTCAAGGAGAAAAGGAGGAAAAAGGGTGACAAGGTAGCTGTCTCTCTGCCCTCCCTTATCCACAATACCGAAATCTGAAAGAACTCTGCCGACAGAAAGATTTCTCCTATCTCATCTGGCAGAAAAATCTGACCAGAACTGACGGGAAGCTACTTATGGTCTTTGTTTACCTTGCTCCAATGAATTTTCAAATGTTTCACCAAAGGAATATTAGTATGTTTGATTATAGGGTGTTGTCCCAGACCCATGGAGGGTAATACAATATACAGTATATTCATCTGCTATTTCTCTGAAACTCAAAGTCTCTGGATTCCAAAGTACATCTGGATCCAAGGATTTTGGCTAATGAACTGCAGACCTGTATTTTTATGATCCCATTTTTTTCCTTTGGTCTTTTTTTGGTCCATTGAAAGCAAACAAACAAACGAAAACAAGGCTCAGAGAAGTTGTGATTGACTTATCACACGGGTCCTCAGGGGTGGAGTCAGGAAGCCAGCTGGAAGGCGAATCCTGTCTTCTAATTCTAGATCCTATTTGCTCCCCCCCCCCCACCATGGAGCCTTTATTCTTCCACAGACTGACCCAGAGTCAGGCTCCAGCGGCAGTGTGGATGGGGGCTGGGTGAAGGGGACAGAGGATGGAGCTGGGCCCCTGGGGTGTGAATCAGGAAAGCTGAACTGGGAGCCAGTGTTTGTAGTCTGCTGATCTGCAGACCACAGAAGTGTCCTTGCTCAGCTGCCTGCATCCCCACAGGGCATCAGCCTCCAGCGCTCCATGCCATTAGCACTGTCCTGAGGAAGCAGGAAATCTATTAACAGGACTGCTAAATGGATATAATGATGAGCCTTGACCAAGAGCAGCACAGCGTCTGCCTACTGAAGTGATGGACAGTTGTCCTGTGGCCTAGGCAGCTGGAATATTAATTAACTGGTGTGAAGGAGATTTTCTACTGGAGCGCCTTCATGACATCTGCCCCAAGGGTCGAGGAATGCCAGTGTCCTGGGAAAATCCCCGCCATTAACTCCACAAGTCATTGAATGAACAGACCCACCGTTTGCTCCAGGCCCTTGGTTTCCCTGACTGTGCAGTGGGAAGAACATGGCCCATCCGGCCTTTGTATCTTTGCCTGCATTGTAGGCTGGTGCGAAAAAGAAATGAGCATGTACATACCTGAGAGCAATTTGGGAAAGTGTAAAGCACTAAGGCAGCATACTGTTTTGTGTTTTACAATTGTTATAGCTCACCGGGGAGACGGTTACAGAACTTGCCTTAGACAGGGAGCCCGAGGAGAGGGAAATCAACCTCCTCTTCCAGAGTAGGGAGGAGGAGAGGAATGAAAGGGGTGTGCGAGGGGAAATGAGGGATGTGGGTAGAGGCAGACAGCGTGTTCTCCCACCTCCCATGGCTCCGTTGAGCTCCCCCAATACTCTTTCTGTCCCCTCTGTTTTATGATTCTAGGAGAACAATCTGATCTTCTACGAATGCAGTGCTTATTCCGGTCACAACACCAAAGAGTCCCTGCTCCATCTTGCCAGGTAAAGAGGCACATCACAGCAGACAGGGGCCAGTGGGAAGCACTGCATTCACCTCTGTGCAGACCATACTCCCTCTGTCTGCCTGAGCCTTCAGGATAAAGGGGCTGGAGGCCTAGGCCTTTGTGTGGGATTCAGGGACAGCCCTCTGAAATACAATAAGGACAAAAAAGAAAGCCTCCCTGCCTCTCACCCCCACTGTAGTCTTCTTCTGCATCTTAAAAGCTGCCTTTTTCCCAGGGATCTTCTTTTTAAATGCAAATGGTTCTGGGAAAGGTCATATCATAGGTCCCTGAACACTGGCTAATAGCAGGGATTAGTTGTTGGCAGCCAGCTGGAAACAACAACAGTTATAATGTGGGCTCCAGGGGAGGGGGTGGAGAAGCCAGGGAGAGGAGGGGCTCTTTGGGGGGAACTAGAGGCACCAAGGGGGACAGCGCTCAAAGAGTTAGTTCCACCAAAAGACTGTTTTCATAAGCCTCTGCCTGTACCAAAATTAAAAAAAAAAAAAAACATAGAGGATCTTTTCTCAATACTTGGACATTCACTCATTTATTCACTTATTTATAGGCATTCATTTCATTTCATCCATCCACCTACCCATCAATGAATACATCCATCCACCCACCCATCCATCCATCCATCCACCCATCCATCCATCCATCCATCCATCCATCCATCCATCCACCCATCCACCTATGAATGCATCCACCCAACTATCCACCCATCCATCCATCCACCTGTCCACCTATGAATCCATCCACCCACCCACCCATCCATCCATCCACCTATCCACCTATGAATGTATCCATGCACCCATCCGCCATCCCCCCATCCATCCATCCACCTATGAATCCATCCACCCATCCACCCATCCTTCCACCCATCCACTTATGAATCCATCCACCCACCCATCCACCATCCACCTATGCATTCATCCATCCATCTCTCCATCCATTCATCGATCCATCCATCCACTCACCTATCCATGTATCCAGAACAACTTTATCTATGCATTGGAGAGGTTATGGAGTTATGGAAGAATATGGGGAAAGTTGTAGGCTTTTCTCTGACACTGATTCCTAGGCCAAGTCAGTCTACCTCTCTGAGTTTTGCCCCTAACATAGGAACATCAATCATACCATCCCTGCTGACTCAGGTTGTAAATATCAAAACAGATGCTAAAGGTGAAAGCACGTTGAGGGTATAAAGCAGGGATAAGATACTTAGCACTATTTTTAATCCTTCACCTCCTACATTTAATCTGGAACTGTGGCAACATGGGACAGACCTTCTATAGAGTTAATAACCGAAAAGTATATTTTTTGAGTCTCTACTGTGTGCCAGGTACTATGATAGGCTACAGAGACTGTGCAGTGGGAAGAGAGACAGAGAGACAAAATACACAGTCTCTGCCTTCAAGCAGCTTTCTCGCCTGAGGGAGCCACCCAGGGAAGCAGTTCATTCTGACATGGGGTGATCCAGTTATAACAGAGGAATAGTCAGAATGCTGTCAGGGATACTTTCACCACCTGGAGAATCAGGGGAGGCTTCTTGGAAGCGGTGTCATGAAGGATCCATATTGACTAAACGTCTTTACAAATTATGGTTACGTTTCTGTACTTCCCCGGGGGAGACTTAAATACACTGATGCTCTGGTGAGGCTGAGTTCCATCCTTATCATCCAGATGGCCTATAACCAAAGGACCTAGCAGCTCTCCACTGCTAACACTATACCTTCTCCTCTCCCAGGATCCTCAAGAAACAAGAAGATACAGCGAGGGAGGACACAATACAGGTTGACCGCCCTGCCAAAAAGAAATCTTGCTGTGGCTGATAAGAGTCCTCCTAGGCCTGCTCCATGCAGGCATGAGGTCACAGGACTTACCCTGAATCCTGAACATGGGCTCCTGCTTGGATGCTTCCACCACAGCCTGCCTAAGCCTTTGTTTCTGTCAGTGACTTGCCTCCACCAACAGGAAAGGAAGCACAGCCAGTCAGAAAAGCCGCTCTTGAAACATTTTGGAGTCTTCTTTCTCTTCTCTCTCTAGACCCCAGGTGCCCATTTTCCCCCAGCTTGGTTTTGTGGGGAAAAGAAACAGATGGGCTTTTCCAGAAAAAATCACCACGTGCCTTCTCCACCTCCCTTCTGCTCCCCTTGCCCTTAGGAGCTGCAGCACCCTGGTTGCCATGGCAACTGCACAGGGCCAACGTGCTGCTTCCTGTAGGCCAAAGACACAGCACTGGGGCAGGGCCAGGGCGGTGGGTCTTCCTTTGGCTCCTGTTCTCTGGATATCAATAGGATGCTCTTGGCATATGCTTTGTGGACCTTGAGATGCCCACGTGGTGTTGAGAAAAGCAAGCCAGGGCGTTCACATTCTATTGCACACCCCAACCCCAGGGGTCCTGCTCCTTGCCAGGCTGCAGAACCCCGCCTCTCAGCAGCCGCCATGCCTCTTGTATTTGTCCCCTTGGGATCTCTGGAACGTGCCTTACAAGAAACCCACACCCACTCCTCTCAACCACCCACCCATGACCCTGACTCCAAGGTCGACTGTGGGTGATAAATGTGTGCCTGGGGTTAGGGAGTGGGCTTTCCTCCTACTTAACTTTGACTAAGAGATGAAAAGAAAACAAGGGAAAAAAAAAACCCATCTGCTGCTAAACAGAGCGACCATTTCTGGAGTATAAATAAGGTATATATAGCTCCATAAAAGCCATTTTCCAATGTTTCTCAAAATAGCTCTTCAAAAAATTGTACATGATGATTAATGGGGTAGATTGACATGAACGCAGTGAGGCCCAGCACCAGGTCCATAGTTACAGACTTCATTTTATTTTTTTCCAGAAGACTGTATTTTAAAAAAGAAAGTATGGCTGTGTTGTTGACATATAGCTGGTGTTTGAGAAGTGAGCAAGGTGTAGCTGCAGGCTTCAGCACCCCTAGGACTTCACCAGCACAGGGCACTTGCATTATACGGAATGATCTGGGCCCACGCGTGGTCCCTTCGTCTGGGTGGTGGTGGGTTCCCAGCCCCAGCAGGGCTCAAGCATCACTGGCTGGCCGTCAGGGGGGCTGGCAAGGGGAGGACATTCTTGCCCTGGGTGGGAGCCTGGATGAAAAGATCATAAAGATCACTCCCCATTACCACTCTAGGGTTGCAGGCCCAGCCCCACAGGAAAGTGAGTGGTATCCATACCCAAATGGGACAAAATAGGAAGGGAGAGGAGCAGAAAGTCTCCACAGGTCTCCAAGAAGATTCAAGACAACTGTACACAGCCAGCCAGGCAGGAGAGAGTCTGTTGGTCAGAGTTCCCAAGGGTGTTCCCTTGTAGCCCCCTCCCTGGACTCCTAAAAGGGTCAGGGCCCCATGGGTCACCAGAAAAGTGCCTACCTCTTTTTTGCAGGCTTTTCTCTCCCTCATTTAGTGCTTGGAGGCATGAGGGAGCCCCTGGAGGGTGTAGCACAAAAGCCAGCACTGAGCACCAAGTGGTGCCCCACGATCTTGAGTAAGCCAGATCCCTGTCTGGGCCACCATTTCATCAGTAAAATGAAGGGTGGGTTCTTTGATGCTTCTGGCTCTTCTTGCTCAGAGTGCTTATAATGATACCTTCATTTTCCAACTTAGGCTGGCCCTGGCCCCCAGTCCAAATTTGAAGGGAACTCACAGGAAACTCCTTTCTCTAAGAGAGGGCCCTGGCAATTGTCTCCTTCGTGGGATGCAGGAGATGATGGGTTACCCTGAAGTGGCCCTCCAATATCTGTGTGGGTGTGTGTTGCGGTGTGAATATGTATGGTTGTGGGGGTGGGGGCAGATAGGGGATAAAGATCACCATAAAGAAAGGAAATCAAATCTCCTGCTTCTGAAAACAAAAAAGCAGAGATGGCAGTTGGAATTTATAGGGCAAGTAGGCTATATCTGGAGTTTCCCAAGCCCACAGATACCTTTCTCCCCTATACCAAGTCCCTAGTTTGGGGCTGCATTTTTCCATTTAGGAAAAGGGCATTCAGGGTTTAGAGCAGGGTGGAATGACCCTAGTGCCTGACCCTACAGCATGTGGGGTAAATCCCCACAAAGCCTCAAAGGTCCAGGCAGAGAAGAGAGGGCAGGAAGGATCTTTAGGCCCCTGCTGATTCTTTCTCTAACCCCACTTGAAACAAGTATGGAGGATGGGAGTTCAGAGAGACTCTGAGAAGTTCTGTGTCCCCAGGTTGAAGCTTCTGCTTCTCTCCCCGTTCCCTTTACGCTATCAAGGTGATCAAAGTCACGCCTGTGGCTATGAGCCTGTCCCAGGGCCAGGCAGAGTGCTGTCAGAGAAACCTCTGGCTCCAAACCATTTACATTGCTGCAGTGATCTTGAGCAAGTCATCTGGCCAGGTTTCCTGTTCGTCTGTAGATCAGAGGTTTCAGTGTCTACCTCACATGGACACTTTAAGTAGTAAATGAGGCAATGAATGTGAAATACTTAGCACAGTGCCTAGCACACATAGGTGCTAACAAGTAGGGGCTACCATTGTTGTCAACACTGAGTCACTGCCCAGACCACTAGCCTTGCCCTAATTTCAGTTTGAGAACAGCTAACACTTACTAAGCATCTCCCCGTAAGTGGGTGCTCTCACAAACACTACCTCATTTGAGTACCCAGTTGCTGAGCCCATTTGCCTGGCATACGGACTTGTTTTCATCATTGCCTCTTGGCCCTGTTCTTTGTTCCTGTGGGTTTCCCTGGTTTTTCCAATCAGTACCCATATTTTATAGTATCTATGGTCTGCTTCCACATAATCCACATAATCCGCTCTGCCTCTCTGAGTGTGGTTCTCCAGGACACAGACAGCAGCTGAGACCTGGTACCAGGGTGTTTACCTAAGAATGATCTGTGCTCATTACCATCCTTGGCCCCCCATTTTCTTCCCTATTCTGACTCCTTGTGCTGCTTCTGGCATCTGCTGCTGCCCTCAGCCCTGAGTTGCCAAACCAGGGGCTTCAGGACCAAACCAAAGACCCAGTTGTTTTTATGGGGCTTTTTTTGTTTGTTTTTAAGATTTATTTATTTATTTGAGAGAGAGAGAGAGAGAGAGAGAGAGAGAGAGAGAGAGAGCATGCACAGGGTGGAGGGGCAGAGGGAGAGGGAGAGAGAAATTCAAGCAGATTCCACGCTGAGCATGTAGCCTGATGCGGGGCTCGATCTCACAACCTGAGGTCAGGGCCTGAGCCAAAACTGAGAGTTGGATGCTTTAACCAACTGAGCCACCCAGACACACTGCCCCAGCTGTTTTTGTTGCTTGTCTAGCATTTATCTTAGTTGACAGTCTGTTTGGGTTCTTTTCTGTTCCTCTGTGATACACTAGCTTTCTTCTACCTCTCTCCATCCTGTACTCTTTCTCTGTTCTTAACACTTCCACCCAATCTTGGACTCCCCTCTTCCCTACCCTACCCCCTGGGCCCATTCCAAGCCACACCTGTATGTTCTATCAAAAATAGCTCAACTCTTTGTCTCTGTAACTAGCAGTCAATGCCCCAAAGGATCTTAAACCATTTTCAGCTAAGGTATTAATGCAAATGGTGGTTTAAGGTCTATATGTCTACTTTAACAAAGAATTTTAAAGGAGGCAAAACTCTAGCTCAAGGGAATAAATCCCTAGTGGTCATGGGGGTCAAGTATTTAGGACAGAGGTGCCTTCTCCTAAGGTGGTTTGCTTTGAGTATTTTGGGACTCTATCTCTGGGTTCATAAATGATTATAATTGTTATGTCTTCTTTATGAATTGACCCTTTATCATTATAAGGTGTCCTTCTTGCCTTTGGTAACAATTTTTGTCTTAAAGTCTATTTGTCTGATGTTAATAGAGGAACTCCAGTTCTCTTTTGCTTGCTATTGCTATTACATTTTCCATTCTTGTACTTTCTCCCTATTTATGCTTTTAAATCTAAACTGTGTCTCTTGTAGACAACATATAGTACAATCATATTTTTTAATATATTCTTCCAATCTCTGCCTTTTCATTGGAAAGTTTACTCTGTTTACATTTAACATATTGGGTAAAGTAAGATTTATGTCTGCCATTTTGCTGTTTCTTTTCTATATTTCATAAGTCTTTTTGTTCTCTGTTTCTCCATTACTGCCTTCTTTTGTGTTAAATAGTTATTTTCTGGTGTACTATTTTAATTATCTTGTTATTTCATTTATTATATATTTTTTAACTTATTTTCTTGGTTGGTGCCCTGGAAGTAACCCTTAATATCTCAGTTTATAACAATCTAGTTTGGATTAATACCAACTTAATTTCAATACTACACAAAACATTGCTCCTGTATCGTTCCATTCCCCTCTCCCGTATGTTGTTATTGTCACATATTACATCTTTATACATTTTCTTCCTGTGAACATAGATTTGTTGTTATTGCTTTTATGCAGTTCTCTTTTAAATCAGATTTTAAAAGAAGTTATAAACAAAAAAAATGGATTCATACTATTTCCTATATTTAATTATGTAATTACTTTTACCAGTGCTCTTTATTTATTCATGTTGATTCAAGTTACTATCTAGTGTCTTTCACTTCACCAGTATTTCTTGTAGGGAAGCTCTGCTAAAGACCACCCTTCTCAGTTTTGTTTATATGAAAATGTCTGATTTATCTTTCAGTTTTGAAAGATAGTTTTGTCAGATATTGAACTTTTGGTTGACAGGGTTATTTTCCCCTTGCTACTTTGAATATACCATCCACTGTTTCTGGTCTCATGGTTTCTGATGAGAAATTAGCTGTTAATCTTATTGAAGCCCTTTTGTATGTGATGAGTTGCTTCTGTCTCGCTACTCTCAAAATTCTTTGTCTTTGGCTTTCAACAGTTTGATTTTGATGTATCTAGCTGTAGATCTCTTTGAGTTTATCCTGCTTGGAGTTTGTTGAGCTTCTTGGATGTGTAGATTGATGGATTTCATCAAATTTGGGGAGGTTTTAGTCATTATTTCCTTAAATATTCTTTATATCCCTTTCTCCCTCTCCTTTCCTTCTAGAACTCCTGTGATATACCTGTTGGCATGCTTGATGGTGCCCACAGGTTTCTGAGGTTTTGTTCATTTTTCTTCATTAATTTTTGTATTCCCCAGACTGGATAATCTCAACAGCCCCATCTTCAAATTCACTGATTCTTTATTCTGCCTGCTCAAATATGGTATTGGGAACTTCTAGTGAAATTTTTGTTTCCATTCTTGTACTTTTCAATTCCAGAATTTCTGTTTGGTCCCTTTTATAATTTTGTAGCTTTATTGATTCTATTTGCTGGGACATTGTTCTCAGACTTTCCTTTAGTTCATTAGACATGGATTCCTTTAGGTCTTTGAACATATTTAAAATAGCTTGTTTAAAGTTTCAAAGACCTCACATTGCTAGCCATCTGTACTGTGCACAAATCAAGTTCTGCTTACCAGTCCTTGCTTCCTTCCTCACACTTCACACATTTCCAGAACTTGTCTTATGCCTTAGCCCCACCTCTAATCTCCTCCCTAAAGCCTTTCCTGTCTTTTGGATTGGAGGAGGGATATGAAACTCAGAAATCTTTCAGGTCTGAGAACCATCCCCTCCACCTTGAGCTTCTGGATATCCTGCTGGAGATGAGCTGCCCAAGGATATGTCCACCTCCTTGAGGAAGTGAAAGAAGGCCAGAAATCCTCAGGCAGTTTTCCCTTTCCTGCCAAGAAGCCAGACATTCCACAAAATTTCACTCAGAAGGGATAGGTAGGGGAATACTACAGATCAGAAGTGTCCAATTACTTCAAAATAATGAAATCACAGTACACGAACATACAGAAACAAAGATTTAAGTAACTTCTTGCTGACTGGGCTTAGGAGCACTGTCACCTCTCCTCCT